TTTTCATCTGTTCATAAGTTACTTTCCCTTGCTCTTTTCCTGAATTCTTTGGGACTTACTTTAAAAATTCTCTCTTTATGTTATAGATTTATGTAATGTAACTATTTGTCATTTCTTAAAGTGGTTGTTCCTAGAGTATACAATATAAATCTAAAACTTCTAAAACTTATCACTGTAGACTTTCAGGTAATATTATTCACTTTGTGTGTATGGGGGTACTGGGAATTGAACCGAAGGCCTCATGCATGCTAAGCAACATTCTACTACTGAGTACATCCCCAGCTTAAAAAAAAAAAAAGCATATATGTGTGTATTTTTATATGTATGTGTGTGTGTGTATGTATGTGTGTGTGTGTGTACAAACACATACCAGGGATTGAACCCAGGGACACTTAACCACAGACCCACATTCCCAGGTTCTTTTTATTTTTTATTTTAAGATCAGGTCTCACTAAGTTACTTAGAACCTTGCTAAGTTGCTGAGGCTGGCTTTGAATTTACCATTCTCCTATATTGCTGGGATTACAGGTGTGCGMCACYGCACCTGGCCCCAGCTTTAGTATTATTCTACTTCATATACAATATAAGTACAGTTTAATTTCTCTTCTCCATTGTGTTGTGAGTGTTATATATATTTATACTATATGTCATAAATGCCACAGTACATCATTTTTTTAAAAAAATGTGGTCACTTTTAAATAGATTAAAAAAGAAAAAATCTTTTTTTATTTTCTCATACATACATCATTTCTATCATTATTCTTTGTGCCAGTACAGATTTCCATGTAGTGTGTTTTCTGACTGGAGAATTTCCTTTAACATTTCTAGTAATGATTAAGTATTAATTAATTTAAAGTCCAAAAAAGGCTTCATTTCATCCTCCTCCATCCTTCATTTGTGAAAGATAATTTCACTGGTTATAGACTCTTTGGCTGAGAAAGTTTTGTAGCACTTTAACATCTTTTGACTTACATAGAGCTTCACTGTCATTTTTACCCTTCTTTTTCTGTATGTTATACATCTTTTTCTCTGGCTTCCTTTGTATTTCCCACCCATAGTTCATTTTAATGTATGTATTTAAATTTATTATTATTTTATTAATATACACATTTTTGTCTTCTGGTTTCAGCCATTAGCCTGTGATTTACTTTTTTAAAACAATTTTTTAGTTGTAGATGAACACAATACCTTTATTTTTATGTGATGCTGAGGCTCAAACCCARTGCTTCACACATGCTAGGCAAATGCTCTACCATTGAGCCATGATCACAGCCCCCTTTGGTTTACTTTTGTGTGATTTTATATTCTTATTGGATTGTGTTGACTAGCTTAAGTTTAGTTATATTTTTCACTTCGCCTCATCATGTTTATTTTCCAGTATGCTCCTTAGCCTGTGAAACATATTTATTTAAATGAATGAATGAATGAATGAATGAATTGTGGTTCTGGGTATTAAACCCAGGTCCTTTACATGCTAGGTAAGCACTCTGCCACTGAGCTTATATCCCCAGCCCTTTAAAAAATTTTTAAAATTTGAGGTAGAGTCTTGCTAAATTGCTTAGGGCCTCACTAAGTTGCTGATGTTAGCCTTGAACTTGCAACCCTTTTGCCTTAGTCTCCCCAGTATCCAGAATTATAGGTATGCATCACAGCACTTATCATGATCATATACAATCTTTTTGAGAATTCCAGTGTTCTATTCTCTTTTGAGATATTTAAAAATGTGAATTRCATGGCTTCTGAAGGTTAGGGGCATTGTCAGAAGTTCAGTGTGCTATGCTTTCCCAGATTTTCATTATAATGTTCTGTATGTTTGGCTCCTTGTTTGAAAAATTATATCATTAGGTTATGTCCAGTGTTGTATTAGTAGTATATTGGTTCTTTTGGAAAAAAGAAGAAAATTTCTCTGATTTATAGCCTTTCCTAATTTTAGTATTATAAATGCTCCTTCTGATTGGTAGCTGATTTTAAGTTATCAACATAGTATCATCAAGCATGGATTTGGGAAGGGAATTGGTACTTATGACCTACCTGTGTCACCCCGCTCAAGCATACACTAGTTATTTTCTTTGATTTCATTTCTTGAGGGTTGTTTTTGGTGTGTGTATGAGGGGAGGGGAAATGCTTTTTATATAATTTCCTCCTTCTCTTCTTCATGTCATTAATATTGAGATGGAGAAATTATAAAAATAACAGTTGTCACATGTTATCTTAACATCATTTTCTTCACATTATTGGGATCATCTAAATACTGATATTGAGGTATAATTAACAGAAACTTTCATTAGTCTTATAGAAGATGATAATGATGTGTCTGTCCTTTGTAGCCATGTGTTCTTGCATAGCATTTTTAACTTTCTCAATTAAATTTCATTAATTATATCCTATCCCAATTGTAAAGATTGAGAAAAAATCTTTGACTTACATAGAGCTGCACTGTCATTTTTACCTTTGCCTGTGAAGTGAACATTATGTACTTTATAAAATTATTTTCTGTGGGACAAAGATGACTTTGTTTAATAACTTTTCTAGCAGTGTTCTATCCATGTAAATAGTTGAGCTTGTATCACAAGTCTTTCACTAGAACAGAAACAGTTATTGTTTTAAGTTATCAGAAGTGGCAAAATATTTTATCTGAATTGTACATTGAAACTTTTTTGGCTGGGTACTTACTGGTAGAGCATTTTCCTAGCATGCCTGTGGTCCTGGGTTCAGWTTTCAACATCAGAAAACAAACAAACAAAACCCAAAGCACAAACAAAAAACCAAAAACTTGGAAATTTTATTCTGTATTTTTAGTGCTCTCATGTTTTAAGAGTGACCCCATCATGTGAGGTCAGATGTGGAATTTTTCACTTGTTACATTGGAGTTCAGAAAGTTTTAGAGATTACGTGCAAAGCCCCGCTTCAATTTCCAGCACCCCCTCAAAGATTGAGGTACAAAAATTGTGAAATGGATTTAATATATTATCCTAATGTCTTCCAAAGTTTTGGATTGTTGGATTAGGGATGCTCAACATGTATTATAACTGAATTGAACTTGGGATAAGTTAAAGATCTGTACTGTGAACTCTAAAAGAACTGCTAAAATTGCCAAAGATTTGTTGTTAATAAGCTGATGAAAGATAAAATGGAATAAAACAATAATTAGTCTAAAAAAGGTAAAAAAGCACAAAAGGGAACAAAGAACAGATGACACAAAAGAAAATAAATAGCAAGAATGATAGACTTAAACCTATATCATATAGTAACCACTTTATTTTTCATTTCATTTTAGTTTTGGTGGTTCTGGGAATCCTCACAATTGCTAGGCAGGTGCTACTACTGAAAAACACTCCCAGCCAGAACCACTTTAAATGTAAATCATCTAAACATGCCAGATTTAGTAAGAAGCAAGACCCAACTATATGCTGCCTACAGGAACTCATTTTAAATATAAAGAAAAGATAAATTAAAAGTAAAAGGGTAAAGCTGGGTACGGTGGTGCATGCCTGTAATCCCAGCAGTTTAGGAGGCGGAGGCAGGAGGATTGAGAGTTCAAAGCCAGCCTCAGTAATAGTGAGATGCTAAACAACTCAGTAAAACCCTGTCTCTAAATAAAACACAAAAAAGGCTGGGGTTGTGGCTCAGTAACAGAGTGCCCCTGGGTTTAATCGACGGTACCCTTTCCCCCTCAAAAAAAGGGAAATTAGAAAATATGCTGGACAGAGTGAAAATGAAAATACAACATAATAGAATTCTTGAGTTGCTCCTAAAGCGGTATATAAAGAACACACGTTTATAGCACTAAACACCTATGTTAGGAAAAAAGTCTTAAATTGGCTGACTTACCTTATGAAAGTAAAAAAAGAAGGGTAAATTAAATTCACTGTAAGCAGAAGGATTAATAAAGATTGAAGTGAAAACAAAATACAAACAAAAATAAGAAAAATCGATGGAATTAAAGGCATTCTTTGAGAAGATCAATATAATTGACAAGTTTCTAGTTATTCTGATCCAGAAACAAAAGATAGAAATAGTTTATATCAGGAATGAGAGAGGTAACATTGCTATAGATTCAATAGATATAAAAAATAATATTATGAATAACTTTATTTCCATAAATTCAACAGTGTGGATAAAATGKAGAAATTCTTACCAGAGTCCACTCAAAGAAATGGGTAGCCTGAGTAGCTTTTTTTCTACTTATGAAATTGAAATTATAGTTAAAAATATTTCCATGAAGAAAACTCCAGGCCAGGATGGCTTCATTTGTTAATTTTAAGAAATATTCAAGGAAGACATTACAAATTTTGCATAAATTTGTTCCGAAAATTGAAGAAGAAAGAATACTTTGCAACTCTTTTTTTTTTTTTTTAAACTTAGTTGAAAGAAAAGTAAAAATTATTATCTTTCATGAACATGGAAAATAAAATTTCTAAACAAAATTATAGCAARTTGAATAAAAAAATATGACTAAGTGTGGTTTATCTCAGGAATGCAAGGTTGGTTTAACATTAAAAAAGTCAGTTAATTCACCACATTAGCAAATTAAAAAGAAAGAAACTGTAAGATTATCCTAAATAGATGCAGAAAGAGAGGTGATAAACCAGCATCTTACAGTTTTTAAAAAATTTTTWAAATTTTTTAGTTGTAGTCAGACACAATATCTTTATTTCACTTATTTATTTTTATGTGGTGCTRAGGATTGAACCCAGGGCCTAGCACGTGCAGGGTGAGCTCTCTACCCCTGAGCCACAACCCTAGCCCCGCATCTTACAGTTTTGATCTGCAAAGTCTGAAAGTGAACTTTCTCCATTRAATACAGGACATCTAAGACAAGCCTACATCTAAAGCCCAAACTTGTGTATGGTTGAAATTACACTACAGTAAGTTTTAAACTGGAGTTAGTGAGACAATTAATTGTTTCATACATATTCATAGATATTTTAGTAATTGTGTTAGAACTAGAAGGGTCCTTCAGAATGATGCTAATTCAAATTGTTGTCTTTTTTGTATAGGTCAGTATGGAAATCCTCTAAATAAATATATTAGACATTATGAAGGATTATCTTACAACGTGGATTCATTACACCAAAAACACCAGCGTGCCAAAAGAGCAGTCTCACATGAGGACCAGTTTTTACGTCTAGATTTCCATGCCCATGGAAGGTGAGTAAGTTTGTTGCTGTGTCTGAAGTTTCCCTTTATTCAATCTAAAAGAAGAAATTTATATTCTTTTTTTCTTTTTCTTTAAAGAAAAGGTCCCCACATGGAAATTTAGCCTCCTTTGGAATTTGGTATATATATTAAAAAATGTCTTCAAATGGACTGCCCTTTTATACATTTAAGGAAACAACCAATTGTAAATGTTTTTTAATTATGAATCAGATTTTCTATATATTATAGAAGATATGTACCTTTAAAGAGGATACTGTGTTCACAGTTTCCTACCACTCCTTACGTTTTATGGTCAATACATATATCTTCTTGTGCCAACAGAAAAGATAACTATGCTATTGAATAAATCATTTAATTGCTCATTGATTYGATTTTATCAGGTTCTAAAATAATCCCTGGTATTACTTGCTAACCTGGCTTTAATCTGAAACAGAATTTTTAAGGGATAAAGGACAGCTAGGGAAGAGAGTTAAAAGATCGTTGAGTGCCTTTTGTGTTCTTAATGCTTTATATGCCTTCTCTTATTAATCTTCTCAACACTAAGAAAGGAAAATGTCTCTTTGTATCTGAGGAAACTGAGGTCCAGATAATTTAAATGATTTAACTTACACAGTGCATATTCAAAACCCTGCTTTTTAAAAAAAAATTCCCTCCCCTTTTCTCTGTTGGCATACTTAGATATTAAATCCTTGAGCTCTTTGTTGGTCCCTCTCTTGCCTGCATTAATTATCAAATATATTCTTTTTATCAAATATATTCTTTTTATATTGATGTAACCTGGATTGAGAGCTATATTATTTACTTCCCAATAGTTTTCAGAGTTTCCACTATATCGTTAAAGCTATTCTGCATACTGCTACAAAATGGACTCTTCCCTACATGCTTCCTTTTTCATATCAGCTTATTGAGCTGCAGTCTTCCATTAATGATTATTAGCCAGGTTCCCTAATTTGTCTTTAAGGTTTCTCTGAAATTAATCAGAGTCAATTATTCTAAACTTTATTCCATTTCTTAACATTAAATGTCTTTTCACCCAGAATTTTCTTAGTATTTGCTATATATGTACAGTTTTTTCTCTGGCATTTACCTAAAAATCCTGATTATATTTTAACATACAATTCAACTTCTGCCTTTTAGACATTTTACCCCTTCCTCTGAACTTTAAAATTCCTTATCTGGGGCTGGGGTTGTGGCTCAAGTGGTAGCGCGCTCGCCTGGCATGCGTGTTGCCAGGGTTCGATCCTCAGCACCACATACAAACAAAGATGTTATGTCTGCCAATAAAAACTAAAAAGATAAATATTAAAATTCTCTCTCTCTCTCTCTTTTAAAAAAAATTCCTTATCTGTACCATTGGTATTTGATTTGTTTTCTTTCTTTCCATTTGTGTATTATTTATTTTTCTACAGTTGTGTTTTTTGTTTCTGATACGAAAGTACCCTGGTTACCATTTATTATTGTCTATTATATTGCATATATGTTATACAGGTGCTTAGGAAAGATTTTCTTTTATTTTTTTCTTTCTTGTTTTTAAATTTTTAAAATTTTTTTATTTTTCATTATTGAGGATTGAACCTTTGAGCTCCATTCCCAGTGCTCTCTACTCTGTTTTCCTTTCCTTTTTTTTTTTTAATTGTATTTTGAAACAGGATCTTACTGAGTTGTTGAGGCTGGCCCTGAACTTGCAATTCTCCTGACTCAGCCTCCTGAGTTATAGGGATTATAAGTATGTACCACCATACCCAGAAAAGTTTTTTAAAAAAATATTTTATTTTTTAGTTGTAGTTGGATATAATACCTTTATTTTATTTATTTTATTTTTATGTGGTGCTGAGGACCGAACCCAGGGCCTTGCACATGCTAGGTGAGCACTCTACTGAGCCACAACCCCAGCCCAGAAAAGGTTTTAGTGGATTAAAAAAAAAAAAAATCAGATAATTAGAAATGCTGTGAAACAAAGTATTTGCCTATAGAAATGCTTATTATTTAATTTAACATATCTTCCATATTTCAATAGCAATTCATGTAAATTTAATGACTTCACTTCAGATATTTTAAAATGACCCTTTCTTTATTAGTACTACGAAATAATAAGTAATCATTAGCCTTCATAAGTTTTTAGTGATCTCTCAAAATATACTTAATATTATATTCCCRTGTCATCTGATTACTAAAAGAAACTTCTAGTTGCCTTTGATTTGGATATCACATTCCTATTATATCATTATATTTTTATTAGATCTATCACGTATTTCATATTATGTTGCAAAATCATATACCTAGCTTCTTTGTGTATGTGTAAGCAAATGAGAGAGAGACAAAGAGTAAGTGTGCTGTTATTTAGTCATCTAAAACATCTTTGACTGCTAGWTAAAAGTTACTTGGTCTAGGCTGGGAATGATGGCCAGATAAATGTAGAACTGATAGGTACAATAAGTGTGCTCAAGTAATTGGATGAGAAAAATGTGATATGGTGCTTTAGAGATAAAATATTATAGATATTTAAAGGAGGTTCTAATTTCTGGCTGAGGCTCTAAGCAAAGAGTCTGAAACTAGAAAATCTCATGTAAATTGGTCTCATGTGCATTGATCATCTTAGGGTACTTTTAACAGAAATCTGTTTACTTAACAGATATATTCAAGGACACTCAACCACTGAGCCACATCCCCAGCCCTGTTTATATTTTATTTAGAGACAGGATCTCACTGAGTTGCTTAGTGCTTCAACGTTGCCAAGGCTGGCTTTGAACTCAYAATCCTCTTGGCTCAGCCTTCTGAATTCCTGGGATTACAGGTGTGCGCCACTGTGCTTGGCTTTGTATTTTATTTGTATTTCTTATGAATGTAGTGTAGGGAAGACTGTAGTTAGCTGCTGTAGCCTGACCTATAAAATACRTTCTATCTTATGTATTGTTGCTAGACTTGTTATCTATTTTTCATCCTTTTAAAAATATAAAGAGTYTGTTTCCCCTATTCACATAGGAGGGCTTAGTACTCCAAAATCAGATAATCAATTTAATCAGTTACAGTATATGTTAAATATTGTGCAGTTAACTTAGATATACAAAGACAAATGTACTTGAAAAAGGTTCTGCTGAGACAATTATGACTTATATTTCTGAGTTCTAGCACAGACTGTGTATGTTCCAGTACTAAACTAATTCTTTGTGTTTATTTTATACCTAAGCACATGAACCAACAGATGTCTTTCAACTTTCCTTTTAAATTTCTTAAATAACAAAGTATGTATTATATTGCAGGTTTATAGATGTTAAATAAATGTTTAGATTCTTCCAAACCCAAGATCTTAAGAATTCCATGAAAAGTTATTGCTTTTGAAATAAAGTTTTTGAAAATTAAAGTTCTATTTGAGCTACTGATACAGTTGTTGAGGAAAGGTATTTTAAAACAAAATATTTTGAAAATAGGTACTAGAATAAAGCAGATCTCTTACCTATGCTTAGAAATAAAGAATTAGTTTTCTAGATTTCTGAAATGGTTTCATTTGGATGAGCTCTGATAAATGATATTGCTCACTGCAATGTTGTATGTATGTCAGTTATAGCATTTATCACATTTTATAATAACTGTTTATTAGCATGTGTCCTTTGTTCATTATGAACTTTAAATGCAAAGCCCGAGTTTTATTAACTGTTTTTTTTTTTTTTTTGTAGTTGTAGATGGACAGCATGACTTTATTTTATGTGTTTATTTTTATGTGGTGCTATGGGTCAAACCCAGTGCCTTACACAGCTAGGCAAGCGCTCTGCCACTGAGCTACAGCCCTAGCCCCTTATTCACCTTTTTTATTATGTATATGAGAATCATTTAAATTATATTGAGGGAARTAAGGAAGGTGGGAAGGAGGAAGAAAGATGAAGAGAGTATAACAGTTATAAGCATAAATTGCTGATGGGGAAGTATAAAACCAATATTTTTGTTTAGGTTTGGCCCTAATCACAGAGTTTAATCAGAAATAAAAGTAAACCATCCATTGCTCATGGCGTATTTAATTTGGCAGATAGTAAAGTACACTGAGATAGGTTTTCTACTAGCGTATTGTATGCTCTGTAATATCTCATCCTCTTCAGCAGTTGGTGTTCTTCATTACTTTCCCTGCCCCATGCTGGGGATTGAATCTGGGGTCTTATGCATCCTAGGCAAGCACTGTATCCCTGARCTACATGCCCAGCTCCACAGCAGTTGTTCTTAGTTGCTAAGTAGTAGGCAGATTTATCATATTATGTCAGAATTTTAGTAATAATTTCAGAAAATTTGTTTTCTCTCAATCCTTGTTTCATGCAGAAAGTGTATTATGAACATGTTAGTAGGAGCCATATTTCCTTTAGTCTTCTTAAATACTAGTATTTCTTTATTCTTCTTAAATACATGTTGTAGCCTGCCTTAATTATCATATATCCTRGCTTAACTATTGTGTATTCCTGGCTTGACTATCATGTATTTGAGCTTTGCTGTAATACCAGTGAACTATAATTGCTTGAGGAATTTTGCCTATGTGATTTTTGTAAAATCCAGGTTTGATATTGTTTAGGTCTTAGTTCAAAATAGTATGATACAATGTTTCTGTGAGTTAATTTGGAGGTATCTTGGTTATTATTTCTGTCCTATGATGAGCAGAAACTTTTGCCTCTTAAGGCAAGCTAGCACATTTGAAGAACTAGAGATGAGAATCCAGAAAGCACAATTGGTGGATGCCTGCTTTTAAAAAAGGGGTAGAGAATAAACTTGAATTGTGTAAAAATGCTGTTGTGGATGTGAAAAAACAAAAACTGTAAAACACTGACTTGGTTAATTATATTTATCCCAACAAAATTTAAGCAAATATCAGCAAAAATCTCCAAAGAAAAAATAATATTTTTTTAGTACTTACTTTGTGTCAGGTACTATATAGCAGATGTTGTTTGTTTAAGTACATTTTACAATGATGTCTTAGTGGATATTTTAGGATGTATGTAGTATATTTTGTTCTT